CCAGAGGAGGGCCACTCGTATGATCAAGGGACAGCAGGGTAGGTCCTATGAGGAAAGGTTGCGGGACCTGAACCTGTTCAGCCTTCAAAAGAGAAGGCTGAGGGGGGATCTTGTGGCCTGTTATAAACTGGTTAGGGGGGATCAGCAGGCGCTGGGGGAGTCCCTGTTCCCCCGAGCGCTGCAAGGAGTGACCAGGAACAATGGTCACAAGCTGGCGGAGGGAAGGTTTAAGCTGGACATCAGGAGGCGCTACTTCACGGTCAGGGCAGCTAGGGTCTGGAACCAGCTTCCATGTGAGGTGGTGCAGGCTCCCACCCTGGGGGTTTTTAAGAGGAGGTTGGATGACCACTTTATTGGGGTCATTTGACCCCAGTGCTCTTCCTGCCATGGCAAGGCGTCGGACTAGATGATATGCTCAGGTCCCTTCCAACCCTAGAAACTATGAAACTATGAAAAGCATTTTTGTCTTTCCATTACAATTCTGGAAAACTGACAGTTTTGCATAAAATTAAGTACCGTAAATAACTTTTACCATACAGCCAACAGAGGCTTTAAACAAACCCAAAGGATTGTCGTTTGTGTGAGGAGACCTAGTTTAGCTTCATTCATTGTACAGAAATATATTTGCATTCCAAGAGAACAGCCTGTTAACAAATGAAGTGCTGTAAAAAAATACTGGCTCTCAGGTAGGTGTTCAGGTGCTTCAGCTCAGTGGCTGGACCACTGGCCCGGGATTCAGGAGATCTTATTACTGTTCCATCGGTTGCTGGCCTGCATCATCTCAGAGCTGCATTCCATATCTGTAAAATGGGTCTAATGATAAGATCACAGCTGGGGACTGATTGGCTAAGCAGCAGTTCTGCAGAAAAGGACCTGGGGGTTAGAATGGACAATAAACTAAATATGAGCCAACAATGTGCCTTTATTGCAAAGAAAGCTAACAGCATACTGGGCTGCATTAGTAGGAGTGGTGCCAGCAGATCAAGACAAGTGATTATTCCCCTCTATTTGGCAGTTGTGAGGCAACATCTGGAGACTGTGTCCAGTTTTGGCTGTGTCCCGCTCCACTACAGAAAGGATGTGGACAAATTGGAGAGAATCCAGCAGAGGGCAATGAAAATGGTTAGGGGGCTAGGACACGTAATTTATGAGGAGAGGCTGAGGGAAGTGGGCTTAGTATGGAGACTGAGAGAGGATATAATCACAGCCTTCAACTACCTAAAGAGGGGTTCGAAAGAGGATGGAGCTAGACTGTTCTCAGTGGTGGCAGATGACAGAACAAGGAGCAATGCTTTCAAGTTGCAGCAAGGGAAGTTCAGATTAGATATTAGGGAAAACATTCTTATGAGGATGGTAGTGAAGCACTGGAACAGCTTACACAGAAAGATTGTGGAATTTCCATCCTTGGAGGTTTTTAAGACCTGGCTAGACAAAGCCTTGGCTGGGATGATCTAGTTGGGGATGGTCCTGCTTTGAGTACAGGGTTGGACTAGATGACCTCCTGAGGTCTCTTCCAATTCTAGTTTTCTATGATTCTATGATTCACCTCTTTTGTATCCCATTTTGAAATCAACTGATAAAAGTGCCATATAAGAGCTAGAAGATGTATTTTTAATACATCATGTGCTGGACTTCAGCACATGTTTAATTGTTTTGCTTTATGGGTCTTTATATCAGTAAATAGAAAGTAAATATAGAACAGAACATATGACCATGACATGCAAACTAACACTGTGTCACACGCAAACAGTACTTAGGTTTGTGTCTTGTTGTCTGTTTGTATTGTGGTCTCTATTAATCTGTGTGGTAGATTAATAGAGACCACAATATCCAAGTCCCCTTCATATAAAAATAATATTACAGTATAGTTCTAAAAATTATAGACAGAAAAACTGTTGGGATTACAATATGTTATGCTTTTGCTTCTCCATAATTCCTACAAAGGAAAATGCTGAATAGCTTCTGAAGTTCTGTATTTTGTTTTTTCTAGACACAGTCACTTCCTGGATAGTGATATTTATTCTGCCAATAAACAGCGCGTTGAACCCAATTCTCTACACTCTAACAACAACTGTCTTTAAGGAGAAGTTAAAGGAGTTTCTGCACAGTCATCGAAGGAGGTCTGTTTTAAAAAATGACAGAAACAGCTTGGCTACATCAGTGTGCACAGGTAGTTCCCTAATCCACGCCTCCTCATTTAAACTTGGATTATTAAACAAACAGTCCTTGGGAATAGTAAAATTAACCTAATCATACAAATGATGGTTTTTCAGCGAGATCATGGGAACTGGATCTCACTGGATTGCAGTAATGCTAATCTCTTTGAAATTTATTTAGAAATTTCTTTGTCATTGCCACCTCTGTATTCATCTTCCCATAAAATAAACTATCAGCTGTTGCTTTTATCATCCGGGTGTCATGTTAAGGTTCAAAGCAAGCATGCTGAAAGTTGGAACTGAAAACAATGATACATTTCCATTATTCATTCCATTTCCCCAGACATCACTTATACTAGCAGTTCCCTATTATAGCCTTTGTAACACTGAAGAAATACAGAAGTAAAAATGTCCAAAAATGATTTGGCTAAGTGAGATTGCAAGAAGTTTTCACCAAGGATGAAAACTGCCAGTGGGCAGAAGGCCAGCACACTCTCTGTGCACCACGGAAGTCCAGTTTCATTCTGTTGGATGCTAATGGAATGTAGGCACTCTGTTGGCTCTCTGCAGAGAGATGAATGTCCCCGTGAGCACATAATTTCACGTGCCAACCACACAAGACATAATTAAAGGTCATTCTTTTAGTGCATCTCAGGGTTTGTTAATCCCAGTTAGATCTGACTTGGTGCAAAAGGGTAGCCATTTTTATTCTGTGAACAAAAGGCTTAACTGAATGCTCTTCAAACATAACAGGAGACAAACACAACATGGAATATCCCCACCTATTGGGAGAAGCATGTACTCGGGCCAGATGGTGACTTGCCTCAGATGACATGATTCAAAACTGACTGGGGAAAAATAGATGGAGGCCTAACAGCCCAGAAAGGCGGCCAGCTGGGTTTTGAGCCTTTCCAAAATATGTATAACATTCTAAAGGAAGGGACTAACCCGACTGAAGAAGAACCCAGGGGACTTAACAGAGGTAGAGAAAAATCAAGAATGTGGCATATCAAGGGGACCAGCAAAGCTACAAAACCTGCTAATTAGATCCTCCTGCTCTCCAGCTACCTGCACATTAAGTAAAATAGAGATATGGCAGGCAAGGTTAGTAGGGACACCTGAGAAGATTGGCTAGGGCAAAGCAGGGAATACAGGCAGCTACATGTGTAAAACCAGGGGAAGGTGTGAGCTGTTACAAGGGAGACAGTTGTGTGCCTGGGTACTAGGCAGGAAGGTGGAAATGGGTGGAGTGGAACTTTAAGTTGTTGTCTGGAGAGCCTGTTGGTGTTTCCCATTGTGTGGATTGTTTATCTGGTATTGTAAGCCAGGCTAAGTCTTTCTGGATAGGGTGGGGTATAAATGTAAGTAATAATAATATTAATGTAGTGTTAGAGTGATGTTGTAGCCATGACAGTCCAGGAATGATGTACGAGGCAAGAATTTCCTAAGGTGATACATTATTGGGCCAATTGCATAGTTGGGATAGAGTTAGACAAGCTTCTGAATAAAGAATGTCTATGCCAGGGGTAGGCAACGTTTTTGCCAGAATGCCAAAAATACCACAATGTCTACCTTGTAGGGTGCCAGAGTGCTGGCACACCAGAAAAACAAAAACTGGGGTGGGGGGCATATGGCAGGATGCACTGCATATTAATATAGTTAATAATCATAAATGCTGCTTTTTTATGGTAAATACCAGATTTTCTTAAAATTCTACAGGAGGTGACAATAAATAAAACTTCATATACTACCTTTATTCTTGTGTATTCATTTTTGTTAAGCATGTTGTGATGAAAGAGAGAAATAACAGGGGAGGGAGAGGGAAGAGAGAGGGGAGAAGCAGGTATGGGGGAGGCACCGCAGGCAGGCTGGCTCGGTCAGGCCCTTGGGAAGGAGACAGCTGTAGGAAAGTGGGGGCCAGGCAAGGAGCAGGAGCTGCCCCAGGGCTCTGCAGACTCTGGCTGCAGTGGGGGTTCCCAGTGGTCCCTGAGATAGGGCCTGGCCTGTCCCGCACAGCTCCATGATGATGAGGTGCAGCTACCCTGCCTGCAAGGGCACGCTGCCTGGCTGGGACAGGACACTGGCCTTGAGGGGCTCCTGACTCGGCCTTGGTGCATGCCAGGCACAGCATGAGGAAAGCGGAGCTCCCCAGGCCACGGCAGGAGCCCTTGAGCTGTGGAAGCTCCCCAGGGTCTGGTAGCAGCCACTGCAGGTGGCACTCAGAGCTAAGACAACAAGGAGCCTGCAGCACAGTGGCCCTGCACAGTGCCTGCCCTGGCTCTGGCCCCGGCCATGGACCCTTGAGGGGAGCTGTGGGTGAGCAAGGGCAGGGCCCAGGGAGGCTGGGGCAGCTGCAGCAACTGTTCCCAGGAGCTTCTGCAGCTGGTGGGCCCTTGCACCAGGGGTGGCTCTGCCCTGGTCATGCTGTGCCTGGCACACAGGGAGGCTGAGCCTGGAGCTGGAAGCACCCTGAGCCCGGCGTCCTGCCCTGGCCCAGCAGCATTCCCTCATGGCCAGAGTGGCTGCAGCCCATCCTGCGGAGCTATGTGGGCCAGTTCATGCCAAGCTGGACTGGGCCCCACCTCCGGTGCCACTGGGTAACCCTGCCCACCTGCCCACCATGGCTCAAGCCCACAGAGCCCTGCAGCAGCTCCCAGTTCTCACCTACCCCTGGCTTCCCATGGGCTCCCCCAGGCCAGCCTGCCTATGGTGCCTCCCCCCACACCACCTGGACCCTGTCCCAACTGCCCAGCCCCAGCACTCAACACCCTGGTGCTGCCCCTGCCCGGGTAGGACAGGGCATGTGTCTGCCCAGGCCCAGGGCTTACCCACCCACTGAAAGCCTCCTGCACAGTGCCTGCCTGGGCCCCAGCCCAGCCCCGGGCCTCAGGGTGGGGGGATGCAGCCTGGGGGCAGGGGCAGTGGAACATGGACAGCATTCCCACCTGTGTTCTCCGGACTCCACCCCTGGTGCCTGCCCTGGTGCTGGCACCTGTGGCTGCTCAGGAGAGCCCAAAGCAGCAACTTAAAGAAAAATATTAAACAATTTCCTCACACGCCTCCTGGTGTGCTAGGGAAAATGTGGCTGCGTGCCACTAATTGGCATGCATGCCAGGGGTTGCTGATCCCTGGTCTATGCAGTTGTTCCATTAAAAGATATCACCCAAAGAAATTCTTACCTCTTGAAAAAAGTTAAAGAAAAGTATCCATTATTGAGTCTGGTGCATGTGTTGCAAATAACACATTATCATTGGCAATATAATTAGCCTGGTTAAGGCACATGAGTTTCTGTAGTCCAAAAGCATATCTGGGAGGCATTTAGTTCCCTTTGGTTGCTTTTGATTCCCCAGTCTGTATGACCAGGTAACAAGACATAAAAATTGATTTTTTTAACTTCTTTTAATACCACAGGTGCTAAAAGTTGAATGTAAGCCACAATGTTACAGTAAAATATAAATAAATCAAAGATTACAGAGCACTAATAGAATGATCTCTGACATGGACAGAGAGAGTTTTTCTTGTCATTATCCAAGTCAAGGACTCACTGTGGTAACCTCTGTGAAGCTATATAGATTTCCCCTTGGCTGTTTCAGGAAATTCCTCAAATAGCCTGTGTTTGTTCTTGAATGAGCTTATCTTAAAAAAAAATCTCTCTATGTCTAGTATGTGAATTTCCACCTCAGGCAAACTAGAGTGAGGCTTTGGAAAGAAAACTGGAAGATAAATGGACTGCTTCTTATGGGAAGCTGAGACTACCTAAGCCAACCATTTTGTGTGAGATGGGAAGGTAACCCTGTCTTTGCAGCTATACTACATGTACGATATAGATAAACGACTGAATTTCTCTTACCCTCCTAGCTGATGTAACTGGCCACCAGGAAAGTAGTTTCTTTGACATAGAAGCTGATTTATAAGGGCTCAAAGTTGCCCTTATCTGTCAACTCTACTAATGATATACTCAGATTCCAGGAGAGAAGTGGCTCTTGAAGTGGGGAGAAACATGCAGGGGTCCCTTCATTAATTTAATTATCACAATAAGGTGTAAAAATACACAATACCTGTGTGAGTTGGGCTTTTATTGAACCAGGATTGTTTTAGGCCTAACAAATACAGCTGATATTGGATCTTTCTGCAGAGTTGCCTGGTTGAGAAACCTCTTCCATTTAGTACCATATGTCAGTCCACTTGGGTTTTCCGCTTGGGAGAAAACTGTTCCAAACCTCAGCTTAACACTTTCTTTTGATGGACAGCATCCAGCCAACATCCAAGCTGTCAAAGATGCTGGGTTTGTTCTGGAAAACAACATCAGGTAGAAGTGGCAAATGATCGAAGCCTGTGTTGATGTTATTCAGATGCAAATACCAGAATAATGTAACTCATGATAGGTTGATTATCATGCTGCACCCTGAATTGTGTCTCAGTTTCCTCAAGACTTTCGGGATCACTGGTCTTCAGTAATGTTCAGGGGATGAGTGGGTCTGTTGAAAAGCCTGGGGTTGTGTCCCTCTAGAGCAGCAGTTGGCACCTTTTGCCACCATGGACAACTGTTTGTGACCCAGCCCCTGCCACAGGCTATACACTCCAGAAGTCAGCAGATGCTGCACAGGGAATAGATAGAAAAAGGCAGGCAGTAGGACTCTGGGGGGTGCCTCCCTTGCTCCTGTTGAACAGTGGCACTCAACCATTTTCCCTGAAGAGCTAGATGGGTAGTGCCCCATCTGTTGATGGGCTGGATTTCTACCAGTGGTACCAATCCGACATTGGGGCTGACACAGTGGACTCCACCCAGCCACACGGAGGAGAGTGGGGGGCAACCCAGCTGCAGCCCAGCCGTACAAGGAAAAAGAGGTCATGACCCAGCCACACAGGGGAAAAATGGGATGTGGCCTGGCTGGGACCAGCAGCCTCTCCCACTGGGTAAACAAAACCTCTCCCACTGGGAAAAACAAATGTTTAGCCAGGCCTTCTTCCCTTGAGCTCTCACCCCTCTGCTCTCAGGGTGTTTTAGTGCCTGCCTGGATGTCTCCTGCAGCCCCATTCTCCTGGGAGCTCTGTTACCTGCAACGCACTGGACCTGACTGTCTTCCTTCAGGAGCTAGGCTTATATATTCCAGAGCCCTGCCTCCTTAGGTCAGGTGACTCCCTAGTCCCTCACAGGGATTTTTCTGTACATTTAATGGGTTGTCTACCCCTCCCTGCTGCAACTTAGCTCATGGCTGCCTGGGACTCTGCCTTATTCTTTCAGCTAATTGCTTTGCAGCTAACCCCATCTCAGCTGCCTGCCTATCTACACATCCAGGCTAGTCTGCTGTGCCTTCCCCTTTTCAGTAACAGGAGCCTTTGGCTCCCTGTTGCAGTGGCCAGCACATCTAGAAGAACCACAGTGTCTGTTGAGTAAGTAACTGTTCCAACAAGCTATGAAGGCTATAATGGCGCTTTTTTGTAAGGACAGAGGTACTATCCCTTATGTCCTGGCTAACCTACAATTAAGCCAACCCTTTTCACATTTTTCCTCATACTTTAAGAAGTTATTCTTTAATTGTGTCAGGTATCCACTCAAAAATTATATACATTCTGTAGTGTCTGTAGCTGGTCATCTCTGTTTTCCCTGAAGTTCTCTGGGTCTTCTCCATTGTTGCCTCAGTTGCCATCAAGTTCTCCTCTTGTCTCTATTTGTAAAGTGAAAAAAAAATCCAACTCCCCCCTGTAAACCCTTGTCTGTGCTCCATGTTCACTAGCTAGTTACTGGTTCAGTTACTACTACCAGTTACTTTGTTTTTTCAGGAGTGTAGGT